TTGTTGATTTTGTTTCAAAACAGAAATATAAATATATGAACTCATTTTAATTGATGTTCTAGCTAACAGTACACAACTTAACAAAATTAATTCACATTTAAAAATATACAATAATACTTTAATTATTTCAACCAAATAAAATAACTTTTGTCATCATCTTTAATTCCATTCTTGTTATGTCTTGATTGTTTCAAATCCTATGTGAATATTGGACCTTCAAATAGTTTCAATTTTTATAAGTAATATATATAATATGTTTTTATAAAAATAAATATTTGTAATAACTTATAACAAACAATGGTGATAAAATTATTATACTATAATAATTAAATTGTTCTTTAAGCATGAGTATATTTATATTACAGTAGAGATTCAATACATTAATATTCAATAAATTAATAAATTAATCAATAATTTTGTCCGATCACAAAATATAATTAATAGCTATTAAAATCTATAAATTAATAACTCGATAATTAAAACTAAATAAATTAATATAATTTTACTCACGCACAATTTATATTTAGACGGTGAATTCAGATAGTAAATAGTAAGTAAAAAAAAATAATTAATATTTTAACTTAAAAGTTGTTAGCTATTGGTTAAAGACTTAAATTTTTTTTTGACTAAAATATTTTTCAATTAATTATAAATTAAATAAATTGGGACAAAAAACCCATGATCATTAATTGAAATGAAATAGAGTAAATATATATAGTGCTTTATTTAACAAAGTTAAATAAAATATTTCTATATAAGAGGATATTTTTGTTGAGAACTTCATATATAAATTCTAAATTTTTGTTTTATTTGAGAACTTATATATTGTTATAATCTAAAAATAAATCATCAAAAATATTTTATATCAAATATGTTTGTGTCATTTATCTATTAATACCTCAAGTTGTTACTAGTAATAAATTATAAAAAGAAAACAAAAATAATTTTAAATACTTTAAAAAATTGAATACAATTTCCTATTTAAATTGGTTAATTGTTTTAGTTTTTTTAAACAATATGTAAACAAAATAGACAATACATATCATAAATAGTTATTTTATGATGAATTTATAATATAAAACACATATTAGTCAAAAATTAGAAATAATCGTAAAAAATTTTCAAAATATATTATAAAAAACACTTAATATTTTTTTATAACTAAATATTATATAAAAAATTTAATATTATATTTTAAGTAGTATAAAAATTATTTAATAAATATATATATTAAACAATTTATAATATATATTCGCGCTACGTGCGAATGAAAAACTTAGTCTATTTATTAAAACTGCCACATACATAACCAACAAACACGTTAACTTTAATTATATGTTGTACTATGTCTATATTACGTAATAGAGTGATACATATTTAAATTATTATATATATATATTTTATAGTGAAAACTATATAAATGTGAATATTTATATCATATTGTACATATCTATATTAATTTATACATGTATTAAATTTATGAAGAATTACTATATATTGTTATCTAGACATTATATATAGATGTCTAATAATATATATACGGATATATTTTTATTTATAGAGTGCTATGAAATATATATGTAGATATTTTATATAAGATGATATATGTGTATATATATATATTTATAGAGTAATACTTAGTTATAAAATATTTATTTATATATATATATAGATGTATAATAAAAAATATATATATATCTATTTATAGAGTGTTTTGAGTTATGAAATATATATATATATATTTAATATTATATATACATATATATTTACTTATATACTAAGATTTAATTATATAATTTAAGGAATAACACTGTAAACGGTGACGAATACAAATTAATGAGATTTATGAAACGGTAATACATAACATCTAGAACCTCGAATCGGTGAGATATCCACTATCACCAACCTAAAATGAATAAAAGAAACCCATACTAAAAACTATAAATCTGAAGAATTGATATTTTGTGGTGAACTAATTAAGAAAATAAAAAAAAGATTAATCCTAGATAATAGAAAGAATCTCCAACAGAGGAGAATCATCCGAGGAGGATTGGTGTTGTGTGTCGCTACCTTTAAAGTATAATCTAGACATGTTGGCTTAGAAAAGAAGGATGAAGAACAAATAAAAATGGAAAATATGACTATGGAGTTTTAAGAAAGAAGAAAAGAAAAAATATTGAAATAATATAGATATTTTGATGTGAATAAATAAGAGCAGTGAGGATAAATTTGACCATATTAGTGGTTAAATATTTTAATGTTTACACATTTAAATATCTTTTGTCAATTACTCTATTGACTACTAGTCATTTGTTATCTACCCAATTGTCTCTTTATTTTAAGGGAAAGTGGCCAATTTTGGCTCTAACTATCTCTTTTCTACTTCAATTTATATATAATATTTTTTACTATTTTAACCTCATATAAAATTCAAATTATTTATCCTAACTATCTATTTTGTGCCAAAATTTATACTAATTATATGACCGCTAACGCCTACTAACTCAGATGAATAGAGATGCCAGTATAGCAACAACGTTTACTCGATTAATCACAAAATGATATCGTATTGATGCCACGAATCAACATACAAGGTGACTGTCGTTTTGCATTTGAGTTTAAATAAAAAATTTAGCTGATCAGGTTGGAGGAGATAGAACTTACCATCTCGGTATAATAAAGAGAAGACGCTTTGATCGTAGAGGCAGAATCTACCCTAACGATCAGTTTGGAAGATGCAAAGCATACCATCCTGTCAAAATCGAGAAATATTTTTTGTCAAAATAGAGAAATCATATTTTCCCGTCAAAAAAAAATTGCATTTTCTCATGAAAACTAAAAAATAATATTTTTCCGTCAAAACAAAGAAATCACATTTTTCATCAAAACTGTATTTTTGGCATTTTTCCATCATAAATGAAAAAAAATATTTTCTGTCAAAACAGAAAATCGCGTTTTCCTGCCATAATTGAGAAAACTTATTTTCCCATCACAACTAAGAAATCGCATATTTCTGCTTAAAATAAAAAATTGAGTTTTTCCATCAAAACCGAGAACTCTAGTTTTTACTTCAAAACCGATAAATTCTATTTTTCCATCATAACCAAGAAATATCAATTACTTGTTAAAACCGAGAAATCATATTTTCCTGCCAAAACCGAGCAATTTTATTTTCCTGCTAAAACTGAAAATCGCATTTTCCGCAAAAAATGAGAAATTTGGTTTTTCCATCAAAACCGAGAAATTGTATTCTTCCGCCAAAACCGAAAATTTTTGTTTGTCCGTCATATCCGAGAAAACATATTATCCCGTCAAAAGCCAAAAAATTACATTTTTCCATCAATACCAAGAAATTGCGTTTTTCAGCAAAAACCGAGAAATTTCATTTTCTCGTCAATACTGAGAAGTTGTATTTCTCGCTAAAACCGAAATATTCCAGTTTTCCATAAAAACTGAGAATTCGCATTTTCTCAAAAAAACCAAGAAATTTTATTTTTCCGCCAACACTAACTAAAAACTGCTTTTCTCAGTTTCTCACCCCGACAAGTATTTTTTTCCCCATCTAAACAGATAAATCTAGTTCTTCTGTCAAAACTGAGAAAATGCATTTAATTCAAAAAGTTTATTTTTCAGCAAAAAACTGAGAAATCATATTTTTCAGTCATATTTGTGCAAACAAATCCATTTAAATGTAAATTTGAATTTGAATTCATAAATTTATATAACATGATATTTTGTATATTTTTCCTTTCTCTAATTCAAATTTATGAAGACAAATCTATTTATATGCAAATCTGGATATTATTTTATAAATTTATGTGAATAAAATAAATTTAGAAATGTTAAAAATAATAATTAGGTAATTATTTGACTAATAAATATATATTGGATCAATTAAAATTGAGAAAACTAAATAAAAATAAAAAATATAATGAAATGAAAGCATGGATATTTTAGGTATGTTTTAGTAAAATTATATGGATAAAAATATAAACTAACAAAACAAATATATTTACATTTAAATGAGTCATCTAGATGGAGAAGAAAAATAGAATAATATTAAACAAACATCATCTAAATGACGTAAGTGGATCGACCATCTGAATGAATCATTTTGATGAAAATTGTAACACTCGCACTCCCCTCGGTTGTAAATCAGTAGTGACGAGGTTAAAATAACCGTCCGCGCTAAGAGTCAAACGCATTATCTCTTTACAAGTCTCAGAATCTAAGATGCCTTGTTTAATAAACCAACACCACACTACAATGCAACACTTAAGCAATCTGACCACTCTAACCTTCAACCTTCTAGAAGGATTGAAAGAGAAGAGAAAAAGGGTGGAGAGATGAGTAATTTAGATTACCCAGGAGAATGAACCTTCACTATCGTATTACTGCACCACAACTTAACAAATGCTAAGTTCAAGCCTAAAACAGCACCATATAATGTTCTAAAGACATCACACACAACTTATCAGTCCTCTGCACTATGATGACATACATCATGACACTTGGAATGCATCCCACGTAGGAGTATAGTCACTACACGACTAGCCCTTCGACCATTCCTTGTGAGTGCTAAGTACGTCTAGCTATGCCCTCAGATCATACGAGTAATACACGTTCCTCTTTGTACCGCTTCATATGATGTCAGGTCCCTCAATACCTACCCTGCGGGTGTTGGATGGCTGTGATGGTGAAGAGGGTGGTTGGCGCGACATCTCGGTGAGGAGAGAGAAAGAGAGTGCATCGACAAAGAGAGAGAAAAAGGAGAGAGTAAGTGACAGCGGTGGTAACATAAATAAATTATTAGAAAATAAATAAATTCACGAATATTATATTAAAAATATAATATTATCTAGAATCAGAAAATCGTTATCTTTTAAAAAAAAATATCAAAAAATTAGAATTTGGGCTTTTAAACCGATTCAATTCGGTTTTGAATAACAAATGTACCTGATCTGAAGATTTTTACAAAAATAATAACTAATCAAAGAAACATAACCTATATGGCATTCTTATGTATGTGATTAAGTTTACAAAATGGCATAAGAACTCTATTTACAGAGTTTGCATGTTAACAAAAATTAACTAGAGAAAATTGAAAAAAAAATACACAACTTGAATTATTGCAAAAGCTCAGATTCTCAATCAGTATTAGTACCGAATCATCCAATCAAATCATGTAGCTATACTAAAAAAAAAAAAAAACTATCAAGACATGAATCAGGAGTTCAGGACCATATAGCTATACGGATTGTTCTTCGACCACAATCTCACACGATTCCCGTACCACACTAGTCAAGTCGTGGCGAAGGTACGACATAGGAGAGCCGAATGTCAGGAACGTGGCTTTCTTCAACACTCGTGCTTCCCATAGCAAGTATCCCGCAACATCTTCCCCATCGTCTCTGATCTGATTGAATCCTGACCAGGTAAATGTCTGAAGATGTTTCAGTAAACATTCCGGTACATGATCAGGTCGGATCCATCTCTGGTCCTCCGGACTGTCCCCAACTTGCATTAGCTGAGATCAATGAATTTAAAGTTAATTTTCAGATCATCAATGTAAAATTGCAGTGCACAAAGACTGGTGAATTTTTTTGTGTTCTTCCCTAAGAGTATTCTGATACAATATATACCCCAGTTTTAGCTTTCTCAGCGAGCTTTACAGCTCAGACTATCCCTATATACTCCCAATCCCGTATATACAACTATCTTAATATTATCTTGCTTAACACGACAGCTCAACAATCAAAATAAATTCCTGGAAAACAAAAATAGAATGAAATGAAATTGTTACCTCGACTAGCTTGAGTATTTGCAGTATAGGAGAAGCATCGAGCATCATAAAAAGCAGAATCCACCACTCTGTTTGATCCGTACTCGCCAGTTCCAAAGATAGAAGGTGCTCGAAGAATTTACCAGCAGGCGGGTGCTTAAGCTGTACACAAACACAATGTCAGGCCCAACGATTTGCCCCATGACCTTAAAATCTTAAAGTTACCTTTAAGGGTGAAACGAGTGAGGCAATGCGTCTTGCTGAGGTTAGAGATTCAAGAATGTTATCATCGGGTATCGGTTTATAAGAATAGCACGTGATTGTTGCCTCCAGGAGCGACGTTGGCGCTTGCGCAAACCGAAAAAACTTAGCCAACAGTCCCCAGTCTTCAATGTGCAAGTACGCCAAACAAGGTGCATCTATCGTATAGCCTCCTGCACTCTCTTCTCCGTATTTTCCTCGTATGGCTAGCCTCTGTAACGATGGCACAGAAATAGGGAAATTCCCATTATCCAAATTCAAGCTTCGATCCAAGACCACATCTTCAAGAACAGATGTTTCATCTTCGAAATCAACTCGGTGGAGACGAAGCTTATGAAGAGCAAGCAGTGCAACTTGTGTGGGAAAGTGTAGAGATATACAGCAGCTAAGCTCTAAGGTCTCCAGTGTATTATTCAAAGCGCACAATTCACTGGCACTCTTCTCGGTTTAGACGGAGGACCAATTCACGCAAACCACGGGCAAATGCAGTTCCACACCACAATGAAACATTGCTAGCCGTAACAGCTCCTCTGACATTCAAATCAAGACTCTCTAAGGGCGAAGCTTTATTTTGAAGAAGAGACTTGTACACATTTGCTGGAAATGTAGGATGAACTTCGAAATCAAACTTCACTCCTGTCATAAACTTCCAAAGAGATCTCCATGGTTTGGATAAAACACTGGTGGTAACAGCTAATTTCGTTGGAAGTGAAGATAATATCTTCAGATGCAATTCGCTAGGCAATTTGCCCATCCTACTGATTTGGCTGTGGAGGATTAACAAGAACAAAAACAAGTTTAGGCTTTACAGAAAACCCTAGAAAGGGATTCCCAGCAAAGCATAAACGAAGCAAAGAAGCGTACCGTTTTTCTGCCATTTCTTCGCGAACAGAGATACGAATTTGCTAAAAGATCTTGCGTTTCCAGTGTATTCCCGGCCTTACCACGCGAAGAATCTGGGTACGATATGATAATGGTGAAGACTTGTATTTGTTTCCAGAAATAAAGAAAACCAGGATTCGGAGCAAAACATAAACGTACCGTAAAATTCTTCAGATTACTTCCGATCACAATCCCAGAGGCAGTAACACACGAAGAATCTGTATACGAGATGAGAATCGTGACGATTTGTTTGGAGAAATAAAGAAAACCAGGGATTCGGAGCGAAACATAAACGTACAGTCTTTCTTCCAATTTTCGAGAACAGAGCAGCAATTTGCTAAAGAAACTTCAGATTACTGCGTTTTAAGTGTTCCAATCGCAATCCCAGAGGCAGTAACACGAAGAATCTGTATAGGAGATGAGAATGGTGAAGATTTGTTTCGAGAAATAAAGAAACCCATGGATTCAAGGCGAAACATAAACATACCGTCTTTCTTCCAATTTTCGAGAACAGAGCAGCAATTTGCTAAAGATTCTTCAGATTACGGCGTTTTCAGTGTTCCAATCGCAATCCCAAGGGCAGTAACACACGAAGAATCTGTATACGAGATGAGAATGGTGAAGACCGTTGCAGAAACAAAGAAGAAAGGATGGTGTTTAGATTTATTAGTCACAGAATGTCTTTTCACAAGAAAGGATTTCTTTCTTTGAATGGGTTTATTTTCCGTGGGCCTATTTAAGTAAAGGCCCAATCTCTACTTCTCTTTATCTTTAACTCTCGTCTCTCATCTATGTGAGAGCATTCTTGAGTGAGTATTGGGTTTTTGAAGTTAATTTCCGTTGTTGTTAAGAGGGACCTTAGCGATAGAATCATCGATAAAGGCTTGTGTTTTTTTTGTTTTCCCCCTCCTTTGCTTAATTTAATCTTTTGTGATTATTTAACTCCAGGAATTTTCCGATTCCAGTTGATTTGAGATGAAATGGAAGTATTTTCTATGGAATGACTAAGTCTACAGTTTCACTGATTTGATTGTTGAAAACGCCCAAATGTAGTGCGACTGTAAATAAAAGTTTTGATGCCTTAATGTAATTGGCGTTTTTGTAGTACCTTTTGCATAGCGTTATATAAGCGTTTACTTATCTTGAAGATATCACTAGTTGTTTTACTTGGCTCATGTTAGCTGCTATATCATTGAAATTGCTTACTTGACTTATGACTTCTCTTGACCTGTTTAATGGTTTTTGAATGATTCTCATGTTGATAATTCCTGTTTTGCAGCTGAGCTGAAGAAATGAAGCACATCAAAGTTGTGAAAAGAGGATGACAGTACCATGGAGGCTTTATGCAAGGTTATGGTTTAATGGTTCTCCAGTATGTGGAGATCTTACTGTATCACTAGCTCAAGCAGGCCCGCGGTTCAACCAGGTGAGTTGAATTAAGTTAATCTTATGACAGAACAGAACTCTCTCCTGGAAGCTGTCTTCTTTTACTAAACTGTTGTGAACAAACTTCAGGTATTACGTTGTACATATGCAATCAAGGCTCTTTGGTTCTCTGCCGTTTTTGTCAGTTTTAAAGGACGAGTTCTTGCGCTATAGAGACTCTCCAAAATGCCCATCTTGAACTAAACCACCTTCCAGATGCGTTGTCTTGCTTTGATGAAGCATTGGCCAAGGATCAATCACGTGGAGCTGATATCAAAGCTCAAGCCACACACAATCTGTGCCCAGTACGAGATAGCCGTCACTCTCCTTCGGGTAATACTAACTCTCCCCTCTTTATTAGTTTTTAACCTAAAAAGACTCTGCTCAAAGATAAACTCATTTTTTTTCTCTCCCAATTGCAGGAAATCTTGAGGCTACGAAAGAGTACAAGGCGCGAGGAAATTGAAGCGACAGTTCGACCATTATCATGAAGTATATTTTTAAAATGTGTTATGTAGTAAAAACATCATTTCCTATATATACGCGAATCTCACAAGTTGCACATACATAACAAAAACATCATTTCCTATATATAACTACTACAAAACAACATTAACACTCATTACATAACAAGAACCCAACACCAATAGGAGACAGAAGAGAAGACACTAATCTCCAGCTAGTATTCCTGGCAAAAAGAAAGAAGGAAAATTCTCTACCGACTTAACAAACAAATCTCCAGAGAGGAATGTCCAAATGGAAGAATGCAGCTCTGTTTCTTCATGAATCATGATCTACCTTTCTTCATCCTTGCATCTCGCTGGTTTCGAAAGTGACTCAGAAGTTGCTGTGCCTGCAAAAAGACCAATCACATTCAGAACCACATCAAGAAACCGGACTTGGTGTGTTATCCTGCCACTGTAGAAAGATTGTAAGCTGAAGTATTTACCTTCTCTTTTGCTCTCTGCGTACCAGACTGAGACAAGGCAACAAGTGGAGGTATTGCACCTTCTTGCAAGACCAGAGTGCAAAACTTGGGACTGTTCAGACACAACTGAAGCAGCACAGAGGCCGCGTTCTCTTTCCCTCTCTGAGATCCCGAGTCGACGGTCTCAACAAGCAACGGAATCCCACCTTCCCTCACGATTGCTTGACGCCCTTCTCCAACTGCAGAAAGATTCGCAAGAAGAGCAACTGCTTTGTCAACCATCTCGAAATCCGGGTCTAACAGCTCCACGAGATACTTAACCGCCTTAGCTTGCACGATCCGAGCCTTGTTCTCATGTGTTATCGAGAGGTTGAACAAAGCAGAGGCAGCGTCTTTCTTTCCCCTAAACGTCCCCTTTCCAAGAAGATTCACCAGAGCCCGTATCGCTGCGTTACACTGCCCTATTCGTTCCCTGTTGACTTGCAGAACAGACAGGCTGAACAACGTTGCTGCTGAGTTCTCTCTGGCTCTGTCGTTTCCTGTGTTCAAAACATGAACAAGCGGTTCTATCGCCCCAGCTTCCGCAATCACTGCCTTGTTCACTTCACTTATCGAAAGATTCAGAAGAGCCGTGACTGCGTGTTCTTGTGTTACGTTTTCTTCCGAGTACAAAAGTGACAGCAGTGGATTGATAGCACCGCAACGCCCGATGTGAACGCGGTTTTCAATGTTGTTAATGGTGAGATGACGTATTTCAGCTGCAGCAGCAGTCTTGGCTTGGTTAGATCCACTCCTGAGATCTTCTACCAGTTTCATGGTATGTGGAGTCGTCATTGTTCCTGAATCATCCAAATTCTGTACTGCACTACACTCATGATTAGCGTTTCTTGAACTCTCTGAGCTTTTCTTGGGAGACATAACACTGTAGCTTTGGTGGTTTCCCCGTAGACTTTCTGTCTCATTTGTCACGGAAGGAACATAATCAACGGAGGAGACAACACTGCAAACTGATTCACTCCTGCTGTGAGTATAAGACTGCCCCGGAGAAGAGAGTTCGAAAATCTCAAGATCCTTGCTTCGAGATTCCCCGCATAAACTGGCAGGCACGTTGATCTTTAGCTTCTCAAACCCATTTCCGGTTTCAAGAGATGACCTCGAGGTAAAACTGCTGCTCCGTAGAGAAAAACGGAAGCTCTCAGTGCGGTTAATGTCAAGAGAACCCATGTTATTAGCCATGGACGAAGCATCGCCACCGTCATACTGATGAACAGAGCTAGGAGCAAGGTTGATACTGTTTGCCTCCAACCAGCTCGCGATCATAGCCTTAACCGTGTAATTAGGGATGAGTTCTTGATGAGTCAGCACCTGCCGTGTCCTGGGACAAACAGCTAACCCGTTATCAAGCCATTTCTTAATGGATGTTCTGTCAAATGTCTGTCCTGAAGCTACTATTACCGGTTCCAGCATGAGTTCCGTTGACAAAGGACACCGGAAATACGGAGGCACAGAGATGCCTTTAGCCACTTCAAGAAACTCGGTGTTAAGCATGTGTTCACGGATGCAGGAGACCAGTTCTATCAGTTGGTCGATCTGTTCCATCTTCTCTTTCGACTTGCTGGTCTGTGATCTTACCCTCTCCTTCTCCACAGCTATGCTTTCCTTTAACAGATCCTGGTTTGATATCAACCCCATCATTTGGATTATGTTATCAAGATGTAGATTATCCAAAGGAGCAACGATGTCTTCTTTCTGATTCCGTAAAGCATTCTCCATGAGTTCAGTCAATCTGATTTCTTGCTTAAAGCTCTCAATCTCCTGCACACAATGCTGAAATCGTTCCAAGAGATTAATAAAGGTGGCTGCAATTATAACGCAGAGGGCTAGAGTAATGAAGTGACTCTAGTTTACCTCAACACCTTGTACGCTTGAAGTAGTAGTAACCGGACATGACTGTGATAACTGAACAAGTATGCGACTAATCTCCAACGAACAAGTCTGGACCTTTTCCAACAAAACATCGCACTGAAACACCTGCACAACAGGATTCACTGAAATCAAAATTCAAAGTAAGAGATAAATGCTGAAAGATGCAGAAACATTGATATTCAGAGCTACTTACACCAGACAGCTTGCTCAGCTTTGGGGACCAGTCCTCTAAGAACTCACGAGACTGGTTAACAACGGAGTCTAGGTCTTCGCAGGCTCTATTTAAGCAGTCATCAGAAGGTATTTTGCAATCAACAACATCATCTAGAAAAGGTTTCAAGAGCTTCAACAAGTGAACAGCATTTCCAATACATGTTTGGATGGGATTAACTCTTATGGTCTGGCACGCGACCAGATGAAGGTACCGAGATATGCTGTTGAGAAGACATCGAACAGGCACAGGATCCATTCAACTATCAAGCTGGAGAATACAAACACAAAATCAACTTTTTGGTACACAGAAGAAAAGAAAGATTAAACTGACTTATAACACAATACACCTCATGAAGCTTTGAAAGAGTGTTTGGGTTAGTAAATTATTCAGAATTTGTGTGTTTGATATGAAACAAGGAAAGTATTTAGCATAATTTGTTTTTTTTTTCTGTAGGAACAATATATAAAAGCATTGACTTTTGACCTCAAGAGACTGACATTGACTAGATTCAGTCACTTCTTGTGGAAAAACTGAAGAAAAGCAAACAGAAGCTTGCGCACATTCTCAACAGATGTTTCTGCTTTCTCATTTCCTTTTGCCTAATTTTAAACTATTTTTCTGTGTCTAATAAAGTGAACAACAGATTGAAATATAGAAACGTTTAACACACTCACATACACAGAGACAAAGGAGACTTATTCCTCTGAATCTGATAAGATATCAAATCGATACCCTAAGAAGAATCTCGACCAGACAAAGACAATAATACAACGAGATGAGACCATCACATTGCAGGAACGAACAAGTAAAACCCAGAAGAAAGAACACCCAAAAACCCTAGCTTATTACAAAGCTAATGTCGAATTCAAAACCAAGAAAGTAGTAAAATTTATATACCCAATATTCAACTGATCCTGGAGGTGGGAGAAAGCGAATTCAGGGTTTCACAGGAACAAGGCGATCATTCGAGCTGGCAGGGAAATAAAAGAAGAGTTACCCAAATTATCCAAAGATCTGTTCTTTGCTTACACAAACAAAGTGAGGAGAGAGAGATTTAAGACAACGGAAGGGGAAAAAGAAAATAAAAGAGAGGAAACAGTAAGTGTTAAGTAATGGCGGGGGCCCCAAGTTGGGTTTTGCAGGTATCTCTATTGTTGTGTTGTGTGGAGTTAGTAATCTAAAAGCTGTCTCTTTTTTTTTTTTTCATTTTTCTTTCTATAGGATTAAACACCAAATAATTACTATCACTATTACAACATTTTTTTACATTATTGATAAAAGAACAGATTAAAGTTGCAATTGTGATTTTTTTTATTGAGAAAAAGTTTATTATTACATTGTGCTTTTTCTTTTTCATGATTGGGAATAATGTCAAAGGGGAAGACGATTTCAATTGTCCTTGAGATTTTACAAGGTACAATGATTAATCTTTGTTACTTATGGTTTCTATATTTGGGTAGTATATGGGGTTACTTTCTACCTTAATATTTCAGATTTTTATTTTGAGGTCAACATTATTATCAGAATTCAGATTAGTCAAAGAAATGTCTTTTAGGCCGTATGAAACAAATTTTAAAGTATTAGGCCCAATTCATTGGTTAGGCCCAATTCATTGGTTAGGCCCAATTCATTGGTTAGGCCCAATTCATTGGTTAGGCCTAATTCATTGGTTAGGCCCATTTCATTGGTTAGGCCCGTTATGGGGTTGTATAGAACTGAATTTGTCTTTGGAGAATGTAACTACGAATGTGTTGGGTCTTTTGTTTCTACAATAGAACTGATTAATCGGTTCTCTAATTGTAATGACGAATGTGTTAGTCATTTGTTCGTCATTCACCGTACAATTTAAAGGACTTTTAAAACCTTCTAATAAACAATAAAAATATAGAGGGACATGACAATATGACATAACTAAATAACTAATAGCAGAATTTCTCAAAGAAAAAAAAAACTAATTATAGAATTTAAACCCGAACACAGAAGCGCCAATCAATTAGCCTCTCACAAATAGCAAGCAAATTTTAACCAAACAAGTTAGAAGTTTATAACCAAAACAAAACATAAGAAAGAACATAAGAAAATATTGTTTGTTTTTCTCTCTTGATTGAGAGGAAAATATTGTTTGTTTTTCTCTCTTGATTGAGAGGAAAACAACAACAAAAAAAAACTTCAATTACAGCTGATCTTTCATACTTTCGATTCTCTGTTTCGTTTCGGCGGAATCAGAGAATCGCTTCTAAGTTAAAACATTCGAGACACATACGTTTTTGTGATATCGAATATATATTCGTTTACGGGGAAGAAGCATTTTAAGTGGTGGTAATTAACTCATTTCCCTGATAATTTTTTTTTTTTTTGTAAAATTTGAAATGTTTGAAACTAAAAAAAAAAGGGTCTTTGCAGAGAAAAATGGAAATGTCTCAAACCGACGGAAGAATGGAAGGGTGGCTTTATACCATCCGACATAACCGGTTTGGCCTTCAATTTTCCCGTAAACGATATTTTGTTCTTCACGACAACAATCTTTCAAGCTTTAAATCTGTACCATCCGATCAAAATGAGGTTTGTCTTTTTTCATACGTTAATTTGTTCATGAATAAGTAAACCTCTATGGCTTTACGTTACAATGATGCAAAAGCGACATGAACCATTTGACAGATTTAAAAAAATCGCAAACTTTATGGTCTTCTTGTTTTGTTTATGTATAGGAACCGGACAGAAGAGCATCTCTAGACTGCTGTATTCGGGTTACCGACAATGGTAGAGAGAGTTTCCATAGGAAGGTACCAAATTTCAGATACTAATAAGCCTAAATTTCTCTATTTTATAGAAGTTTATAAGTTTTTTTTTTTCTTTTTCTTTTCATGTGTTGTTTCAGATCCTGTTCATATTTACACTTTACAACACTTCGAACCATTTGGATGAACTAAAGGTTTGTTTGGAAGGTCTTGTCTTTATATCTCAGGTTGCTTTTTTTTTTGTCTTAATGAATAATCAGTTAGGTTTTTTTTGTTTTTTTACTACGAACAGTTGGGAGCAAGTAGTTCTGAAGCAGCAGCCAAATGGATCCGATCGTTACAAGATGCTTCACAAAAGGTTTTTTTTTACATTTTTCTGTACATTTGAAGGTTTGAGACTCTTCTGATATATTGGATTTCTATTTTTAGGGGTTTCCACTTCCGGATTGTGAATTTGTATCTCATGCTGAGAAGGGACTTGTGAAGCTTGATGTTTCAAAAAGATCACGCCGCAAAAACTCAGTGGACTGGACGAATTACTCATCACTGAGCGCTGAAACAAATGTTGACACAAATTCAGAAACAATAGCACCTGATGTCATTGCACCTTCTCCATGGAAAATCTTCGGATGCCAAAACGGTAAGAAAAGACCAATTTCCTTGAAAACTTGTGCATCACGAAACCGCAGACTGCTCTTACCGAGGTTTTTGAGTTTTCAGGTTTACGCCTTTTCAAAGAAGCTAAAGACTGGGATTCTCGCGGAAGGGTAAACTTAAAATTTGTTCATTTCATTTACTGCATTTGTGAATCATAGTTGGTTTCTTTACTTAAATATCTTTTGCTGAAACCTCTTGCAGCATTGGGACGATCACCCTGCAATAATGGCGGTTGGGGTCATTGATGGTGCTTCAGAGGATATTTTCAATACGTTAATGTCTCTTGGCCCCTTACGATCAGAGTAAGCTCTGTAATTTTGATCTGAGAGGTTAACCAACCACAGTGGTCTAGTACGTAGTTGAGGATTTTACATGAATTTCTTGCAGATGGGACTTTTGTTTCTACAAAGGCAGCGTGGTGGAGCATCTTGATGGACACACGGATATAATCAATATCCAGTTATACAGTGATTGGTTGCCATGGGGCATGAATCGAAGAGACTTGTTGCTGCGACGCTACTGGAGAAGGGAAGACGATGGAACATATGGTTAGATAAATTCTTGATAGTGTAATTTCTGAATATTTGAATCTGTTGAATTTTCGGTTCTATAAACTTCTCAACCTTGAATATCACAGTGATACTTTGCCACTCTGTTTATCACAAGAACTGCCCACCAAAGAAGGGATACGTTCGCGCTTGTGTCAAAAGTAAAGTTTCTTACTTCATTTTATACTCTAATTTTTTGTTCTTTGAAATCCTATATCGAAAAGTTACAAAGTGACCTAGTATAGAACATAAAAAAGGCATGAGCTAATGAGTTTTGCACTCGGAATGTAGGTGGTGGTTACGTGGTGACTCCAGTGAACAAAGGAAAGCAATCACTAGTAAAGCATATGGTAGCCATTGATTGGAGAAGCTGGAACTTATACATGAGGTCATCCTCTGCAAGATCCATAACCATCCGTGTGGTTGAGAGACTTGCGGCATTACGCGAAATGTTCAGGGCGAAACAAGGACACGGCTTCACTGAGTTCGTCTCAGGGGAGTTCATGGATACCAAATCATGCGTGTCCAAGACCAACACTAGACCCATTAAAGCAGAAGCCAAAAGGTTTGATCTAGAGCTTGTGAAGGCTGATGAAATGGAGAAACCTTCTTCAGCACGCAACAGTTTGATGGACTTGAATGATGCTTCTGATGAGTTTTTCGATGTTCCTGAGCCCAACGAGTTTGATAGCTTTATTGATAACTCTCCCTTTTCACAAGGACACTCTCAGGTATATCTCTGCTTACACCAATGGCTCTCTCTCTCTCTCTCTCCCTTCTTGTTTTGCTTATGGATCAAAGTAAAATCTGAGAGTTGCATGTGTTTGCGTTTCAGCTCAAGATACGATCACCAGCTGGAATTGTCAAGAAACTTCAAGATCTAGCCATCAATAAGAAAGGCTATATGGACTTACAAGAGGTGGGCATGGTCGAAAACAACACATTCTTCTATGGAGCCACTCTTCAAAAAGACCCAAATCTTACTCTACCGTGTAGTTGGGCTACCGCGGATCCATCAACATTCTTGATTCGTGGAGACAGTTATCTAAAAGACCGTCAAAAGGTAAGCCATTTTCAAGAAACACAAAAATGCGTTTGTGTTGTTCTTGAAAATTAACTAAACTTATACTACTCAAACTATAGGTAAAGGCAAAAGGCACATTGATGCAAATGATTGGAGCGGACTGGATTAGCTCCAATAAGCGAGAAGATGATCTTGGTGGACGACTAGGCGGTCTAGTTCAGGAATGCGAAGCCAAAGGCGGTCCCGAGTTTTTCTTCATTGTAAACATACAGGTAACTTTGAGATAAGCTTCTATTATTCTATGGAAATCATTGATGTTGTTCATAGTTTAGATCGCTAGACACTAATTAATATCAAAATGTATATAAAAAAAAATCAGGTCCCTGGTTCAGCTATGTACAGTCTAGCATTGTACTATATGGTGAAAACTCCATTAGAAGAGCATCCTTTGTTACAGAGTTTTGTGGATGGCGATGATGCTTACCGCAATTCGCGCTTTAAACTCATCCCTCATATCTCCCAAGGTTCATGGATTGTGAAACAGAGTGTTGGCAAGAAGGCTTGTTTGGTGGGTCAGGCACTTGAAGTTCGTTACATCCGCGGCAAGAACTACTTGGAGGTAAAAAAACCGATCTTGCAAGTGATTTGATAATAAAAACCATAGTGTTTTTGAGCTTTGTTTTTGTTCTTTTTCAGCTTGACATTGATGTTGGGTCTTCAACTGTTGCAAGAGGCGTAACCAATCTTGTTCTTGGGTATCTTACCAATTTGGTTATAGAAATGGCTTTTTTGATACAGGTAAGCAAAACAAATCATGTTTTAAGTTTTTCAATTTGTTAGATTTTATTTCAGTGATCCATAATGATACTTTATTTTCTTTAACACGAATCACGCAGGCAAATACAGCAGAGGAACTACCAGAACTGCTACTAGGAACATGTCGGCTCAATTATCTCGATGTTTCAAAATCTTTAAAAGAAAGATGACGCATCCTTAAGAGAAGAACGATGTAATGCATGAGGAGCAGAGGATTATTTCGATTTTATTTTCTTTGTAAAAGCTGTGTTTTTACTGTGTTTCTTTTACCATTTTTTTTCCTATCTCATCTTGTTTTTACACTCAAACAAAGGTGTAGAAAGGATCAATAGTTTGGGTCTCTGTGTACTCTGATCCAACATTGAATATATAAACTTGTTGATATATTACTGTAACTCAACAGTAGCGCTTTAGTTCAATGTTTTGCAATATGAAAATCAGAGAAAGGGGTTACTTGCGCAACAACCAATAGCTCTTCTTCTATCACAAGAAACCTTAAACCCTATTTAACACAGAGCAAAGACGATAGTCCGGTATTTCACTAAACGTTAGTATATCTTCCATGCGTGTTCAGTATTTACGTGAAATACATTCAAACGCTAAACGCAAACTAAAAGAAATATTTTCGTTTGCGTTTTAACGTATACTAACAAAATAAATTGTTTAAAGTATTTTTAAGATTGTGCTGGATTCAATTCAATCATAAATGTCATCGCAAAAAGTGGAGGCATAAATGCAGTTTTTTTCTCAAATTTGATAAGTGTCTAATTAAAAAATAAATAAAAATGCTTTTATGATTGGAATTTACATAAGTAGAGCGAGTGTGATTAATGAAATAACAAGTGTGTGTGGGGTTAAGCAGCGTTGCGTGCCTCCGAAAGCAAAGGAGTCTCTTTCAGTGGGTCACAGGTTCCTCCGGTTCATCTGTCGGCACCGACACCTCTCTAACTATTCTTCTGTTCTGTTTTTTTTTTTATAGTTTTCACCTTAATTTTGCTTTGCTTTTTTCTTTTCAACTTCAAACACTATTAGTTTTTTCTATTTCTTTTCTATAAAAGTAAATATCTTTTCACTATATTTCATCTTCAAATATTTTAACATAAAACACTTCTCTTTTTTTTATTCATTTGCTAATCATCGAATCATCATATCGAATGATCTTTTTGTTTTTTTTAACAAATCTACAACTACAACAAACATATATATAATAGTTACTTCGAAAATATTACATGTACATTTCGCCAAAAATATGTATATAGTTTTGAGAGATTTTACCCCAAAGTTGGTATAGAATCACTAAGCATATAATAAAATAGGAATAGAAAAAAATACATGTAAAAAATCACCAAGACAAACCCTTGACGTCTAACAGTGGATGTATAATTGTACAATATGACGAAAATGATCACAAGATTGAATCGTGTTTAGCATCTTTGTATCTTAAAAATGAAGAAGAATAAAGAACAAAACGTATAGTGAAAAAAACATTTAGAACGATTTGTTGGTATAGTTTTGGTTTTTCAAGAGGTGAGTACGAGTCATACTCATTTGTATCTAGCCTTTATATATAACTATTGGTTTGCTGTTTTGCTCGCTAATCCATACCTAACATCCATCAAATATGTAACAGAGCGAGTCCATATTGCTAAAGTACGTAAGAGCTTTTAACAAAATTTAAAAAGTACGTAAGAGCTATTCTTGTTTTCTTCACTTCTTTGTAAACTTTGTAAAATCTGTTTTGAGATTAAGATGAACTGAAAGCTCTGCATTTTATTTCTGAAACAACTCAGTCTTTTAAATAGACTGGTTTTACAACTGCAACCGAAACAAACTCCTACAAATCTTAAAAAACAAATTGAACGTATCCCACTCCTCACAATGCGGAGACTTATTAAACCCAAACAAAACAGAGCATCATTTATTCAAACTTCAAACGGTTCTTTTATGCTTCAATGCCTCCCCTAAACTGAACTCTCCTCAGTTCAGTTTATCATCAACTCCAACTCTCTTCCTTAGCTTCTCAAATGTCTCCAACTTGACTGCCTTTGTCATGAAGTCCGCTAGCTGATCTCGTGTTGGACAGTACTCAATCTGCATCGTCCCCTCATTCACCAAATCGCGTAAGAAGTGAAACCTTACATGTATGTGTTTGCTTCTTCCATGCAACACAGGATTCTTCGCTAGTCTGATAGTCGAGCTGTTGTCACAGAGCAATCTGGTACCTTCATGTTGACTGAATCCGATTTCTCCCAGTATGTTCCTGAGCCACACGCCCTGACATGCTCCATATGCAGCAGCTACAAACTCTGCTTCAGTCGTGGACAGTGTCACAATGGATTGCTTCTTTGATGCCCACGATACTGCTCCACCACCAAGCATAAATACATACCCTGATGTGCTCTTTCTGTCATCAGAGTCTCCAGCATAATCGCTATCTACATAGCCCATCACATTTTCTTCTCACCACCACATTTATACTGAATTCTGTACTCTTTAGTACCCTGCACGTATCGCAGTATTCTCTTGGCCGCCAACAAGTGTTCTTCATATGGCTTTTCCATGTACCTACTCACCAAGTTAACAGAGTAAATAAGGTCTGGTCTGGTTGCAGTCAAGTACCTTAAGCTTCCGATGAGTTGTTTAAAGACAGTCGGATCAGCCTTTTCTCCTGCTCCTTCTTTCATTAGTTTCTGTTCTAGAACGATTGGATTCCTGACTGCATTGCAATTCTCCATCCCAAACTTCTTTAGAATCTCCACTGCATACTTCTACTGGTTAATGAATATTCACATTTCATCTTGCACAACTTCTACTCCCAAAAAGAATTTCATTAAACCGAGGTCTGTCATCAAAAATTATTGCATCATAGACACCTTGAATTCCTCAAGCATAGCAATGGAATTACCCGTGTAGATGAGATCATCAACATAGAGACTCACTATCAGGATCTTCTCTTTCTCTGTTTTAACGAACAAGGTGTTATCACAGTAGCATTTCTCAAAGCCAGCCGTGATAAAGTACCCTTCAATCCTGCTATACCACGCCCTTGGCGCCTGTCTCAACCCGTATAGCGCCTTTCTTAGCTTGTACACTTTGTCAGCTTTTCCTTCTACCTCAAAACCTTGGGGTTGCTCAACGTAGACATCCTCTTTAAGCTCATCATGTAGGAAGGCACTCTTAACATCTAGTTGATACATCTTCCAACCATTTTGAACTGCCTTAGCGAGTATAGTCCTAATCGTATCCCATCTCGCCACTGGTGCAAATACTTCATGAAAATCAACACCTTGCCTTTGATGATATCCTTTAGCCACCAGTCTCGCTTTAAACTTGTCTACTTCGCCCTTCTCATTCAGCTTCGTCTTGAATATCCACTTTACACCGATGACTTTGGCTCCTTCCGGGAGTTCAACAAGCTCCCATGTGTTGTTTTCTACAATCGATCTTATCTCAGCTTGCATAGAATTTCGCCATTTTTCCAACTTGACAGCATCATGGAAGTTGGCAGGATCTTCTGAAGGTGTGTACAGCATCATTATCTCTTCACCATCAATCACAAAGAGACTCATTTCTTCGCTTATCTCTTCTCCCGACACATAGTCCTTCATCCATACTGGGAGTTGTTTAAATCTCCCCGCTTGTACAGGTGATGTATTCGGATTGACTGGTGCCTGCTCTTCCTGATCATTCTGATTCGCTTGCACTTGTCCATCTTGATAAGAACCCACTTCTTCTTCAGCGTTTGGTTCACCCTGCACTTCCTCAAACCCATTTTCTGATTCATCAGAATTATTTTCAGCTTCGTCTTCCTCAGAGTCTGTCATCATTCCTTCCCAGTTCAGTCCTAGATTCTGATGGTTTCCTTTCCACTCCCACTGCTTATCTTCATCGAATTTGACATCTCTGCTGATGATGATTTTCTTTGTTTCTGGGTTGTACAGCCTGTACGCTTTAGATTCTTTGCTTACTCCAACAAATATGTACCTTGTACTCTTTTCATCTAGCTTAATTTTCCTCTCATACGGCATAAGAGCATATGCTACACACCCGAATACTCGCAGATGCTCGACTGAGGGCTTATGCTTGCTCCATTTTTCCTCTGGTGTTACGCTTTCAAGTGCAGCTGATGGACTTCTGTTCAGTATATGTACAGCATACTGAACCGCTTCAGACCAAAACATCCTTGGTACTTTCATTCCCAGCAGCATGCATCTCGCCATATTCATCACACTCCTATTTTTTCTCTCTGCTATGCCGTTTTGCTGAGGAGTGTATGCTGCAGTGAGTTGTCTTTTAATCCCATTTTCCTTGCAGTAGTCCTGGAACTCGGTTGAATTGAACTCGCCTCCTCTATCTGATCTCAGACACACCACGCTGAGTCCAAGTTCTCTCTCTGCCATCGCCTTAAACCCCTTAAAAGTTCTGAATGCTTCAGACTTTTCAGATAGGAAGTAAGTCCAGCACTTACGGCTAAAGTCATCTATGAAATTGATGATGTACCGTTTTCCACTCTCTGATGTTGGCGATATAGGTCCACATATGTCTGTGTGAACTAACTGCAGTGCTTGACTTGACTTCCACGAGCTCTTCTTAGGAATGCGCTCTCTGTTCTGCTTTCCTCTCATGCAGATGTCGCAGATTCCTGCAACGGCTTCAGCTTCAAACCGTGGTATGCCAATCACCATCTTCTTCTCTGACATACTCTGCAGTCCTCCATGGTTTAGATGCCCAAATCTTCTATGCCAAAGATCATCTGTCTTGTCTCTTATTACATGAAGACAGCCAACCACGTCTGTTTCTCTAGCCCCTTTCACTTCAGCTAGTACTGCAAACATCCGATTCTTTGACATAGTTGACTGCATCAGGAGTCTGTTCTGTTGTTTGTGCCAGATTTGGCACACATCTTCTTCTATTATGATCCTCAACCCTTTCTGTTGCAATTGCCCTACGCTCAGTAAGTTGCTCCTCAATCCTGGCACATAATAGACAAAGGTGATCATCTGTATTGATCCGTTGATTAGCAGTCGGAGGCTCCCCTTTCCTTTCACCGTCATTCTTCTATCATCCCCTAGCTTAACACTTTGTCTGAATGATTCATCAAGACTGACAAACCATTCCTTATTTCCGCACATGTGATTGCTGCAACCAGAGTCTAAGAACCAGACTTTCT